CAATGATGAATGTCATTATATTGTATACCTAAAATGTACCAATAAAATTACTTTTAAAAAAAGAATGGGATCGTATAAATTGGGATAGCAATGTTTGGGAGGAAGCTGAGGAGGCTGGGGACATCAAACTGCTAAATCCCAATGAGATTATTTTGCCAGAGGAAGAGATTTCCCCACCCTCAGTTGCAAAGGTATCTGAACCAATACCCTGTGTGTTGGCCTCTCTACTTATATCTGAGGAAAGTAATGCTGTGTTGCTTGTAGAAACAGTAATGACCTTCCCTGATGCAGTTACCAAGTAAGACAGTGTTGCTGCTCCTTAGGACCTACTTTTGACTCTAAGCCTATATCTAGTCTCAAATCTCAGAAGACTACTAAAGGTGAGTTACACAACATGAAGCATGAGGAAGTATGCTTCACTCTCAGAGAACTTGAGTTATCTAATTCTTACAAGCAGAATTCTGGGAAACAAGTACGGGGAAGGATTTTTTTTTTTTAACCAGGGATCGAACTCAGGAGCTTGCACTTATGAGGCAGGGGCCGGAACCACTGAGCTAAATCCCACAATCTGGGATAATGGTGGAAGAAACATAAACCTGATCAGGTTAAATTTCAGGACATGGGCCCATTAGGCAGAGATTCTGGATTTAATGTTGTGGCTCATGAAATTTAAAAAGGTATTAGTGGTTTACTTGCTTGGTTGGCTGAAATATGGATCAAAACATGGCCCACTGTGAATGAGCTGGAGATGCCTGACATTCCTTGGTTTACTACTGGTAAGGGTGTTCAAAAGCTCAGGGAAATGAGAACACTGGTATGGATTCGCCAGGTGAAACCTACTCCACACTGGTAGGATCCAGAAAACGTACCCTTCACTAATACCTTAAGAAACAGATTTGAAGGTGGTGTGGTGGCACATGCCTGTAATCCCAGCATTTGAGAGGCTGAGGCAAGAGGATTGCCATGAGTTCGAGGCCAGCTTGGGCTACATAGAGAATTCAAGGCCAGCCTGAACTACACAGTGAGACTCTGTCTCA